CCCCCTCATTCCCTCTTCGTCCCTCTCCTCCCCCCTCCTTCCCTCTTCGTCCCTCTCCTCCCCCCTCCTTCCCTCTTCGTCCCTCTCCTCCCCCCTCCTTCCCTCTTCGTCCCTCTCCTCCCCCCTCCTTCCCTCTTCGTCCCTCTCCTCCCCCTCCTTCCCTCTTCGTCCCTCTCCCCCCCCTCCTTCCCTCTTCGTCCCCTCTCCTCCCCCCTCCTTCCCTCTTCGTCCCTCTCCTCCCCCCTCCTTCCCTCTTCGTCCTCTCCTCCCCCCTCCTTCCCTCTTCGTCCCTCTCCTCCCCCTCCTTCCTCTTCGTCCCTCTCCTCCCCCCTCCTTCCTCTTCGTCCCTCTCCTCCCCCCTCCTTCCCTCCTTCGTCCCTCTCCTCCCCCCTCCTTCCCTCTTCGTCCCTCTCCTCCCCCTCCTTCCCTCTTCGTCCCTCTCCTCCCCCCTCCTTCCCTCTTCGTCCCTCTCCTCCCCCCTCTTCCCTCTTCGTCCCTCTCCTCCCCCCTCCTTCCCTCTTCGTCCCTCTCCTCCCCCCTCCTTCCCTCTTCGTCCCTCTCCTCCCCCCTCCTTCCCTCTTCGTCCCTCTCCTCCCCCCTCCTTCCCTCTTCGTCCCTCTCCCTCCCCCTCCTTCCCTCTTCGTCCCTCTCCTCCCCCCTCCTTCCCTCTTCGTCCCTCTCCTCCCCCCTCCTTCCCTCTTCGTCCCTCTCCTCCCCCCTCCTTCCCTCTTCGTCCCTCTCCTCCCCCCTCCTTCCCTCTTCGTCCCTCTCCTCCCCCCTCCTTCCCTCTTCGTCCCTCTCCTCCCCCCTCCTTCCCTCTTCGTCCCTCTCCTCCCCCCTCCTTCCCTCTTCGTCCCTCTCCTCCCCCCTCCTTCCCTCTTCGTCCCTCTCCTCCCCCTCCTTCCCTCTTCGTCCCTCTCCTCCCCCCTCCTTCCCTCTTCGTCCCTCTCCTCCCCCCTCCTTCCCTCTTCGTCCCTCTCCTCCCCCTCCTTCCCTCTTCGTCCCTCTCCTCCCCCCTCCTTCCCTCTTCGTCCCTCTCCTCCCCCCTCCTTCCCTCTTCGTCCCTCTCCTCCCCCCTCCTTCCCTCTTCGTCCCTCTCCTCCCCCCTCCTTCCCTCTTCGTCCCTCTCCTCCCCCTCCTTCCCTCTTCGTCCCTCTCCTCCCCCTCCTTCCCTCTTCGTCCTCTCCTCCCCCCTCCTTCCCTCTTCGTCCCTCTCCTCCCCCCTCCTTCCCTCTTCGTCCTCTCCTCCCCCTCCTTCCCTCTTCGTCCCTCTCCTCCCCCCTCCTTCCCTCTTCGTCCCTCTCCTCCCCCCTCCTTCCCTCTTCGTCCCTCTCCTCCCCCCTCCTTCCCTCTTCGTCCCTCTCCTCCCCCCCTCCTTCCCTCTTCGTCCCTCTCCTCCCCCCTCCTTCCCTCTTCGTCCCTCTCCTCCCCCCTCCTTCCCTCTTCGTCCCTCTCCTCCCCCCTCCTTCCCTCTTCGTCCCTCTCCTCCCCCCTCCTTCCCTCTTCGTCCCTCTCCTCCCCCCTCCTTCCCTCTTCGTCCCTCTCCTCCCCCTCCTTCCCTCTTCGTCCCTCTCCTCCCCCCTCCTTCCCTTCCCTTCCCTCGTCCCTCTCCTCCCCCCCTCCTTCCCTCTTCGTCCCTCTCCTCCCCCCTCCTTCCCTCTTCGTCCCTCTCCTCCCCCTCCTTCCCTCTTCGTCCCTCTCCTCCCCCTCCTTCCCTCTTCGTCCCTCTCCTCCCCCCTCCTTCCCTCTTCGTCCCTCTCCTCCCCCCTCCTTCCCTCTTCGTCCCTCTCCTCCCCCCTCCTTCCCTCTTCGTCCCTCTCCTCCCCCCTCCTTCCCTCTTCGTCCCTCTCCTCCCCCCTCCTTCCCTCTTCGTCCCTCTCCTCCCCCCTCCTTCCCTCTTCGTCCCTCTCCTCCCCCCTCCTTCCCTCTTCGTCCCTCTCCTCCCCCCTCCTTCCCTCCTCTTCCCTCTCCTCCCCCCCTCCTTCCCTCTTCGTCCCTCTCCTCCCCCCTCCTTCCCTCTTCGTCCCTCTCCTCCCCCCTCCTTCCCTCTTCGTCCCTCTCCTCCCCCTCCTTCCCTCTTCGTCCCTCTCCTCCCCCCTCCTTCCCTCTTCGTCCCTCTCCTCCCCCCTCCTTCCCTCCTCTTCCCTCTCCTCCCCCCTCCTTCCCTCTTCGTCCCTCTCCTCCCCCCTCCTTCCCTCTTCGTCCCTCTCCTCCCCCTCCTTCCCTCTTCGTCCCTCTCCTCCCCCCTCCTTCCCTCTTCGTCCCTCTCCTCCCCCCTCCTTCCCTCCTCTTCCCTCTCCTCCCCCCTCCTTCCCTCTTCGTCCCTCTCCTCCCCCCTCCTTCCCTTCGTCCCTCTCCTCCCCCTCCTTCCCTCTTCGTCCCTCTCCTCCCCCCTCCTTCCCTCTTCGTCCCTCTCCTCCCCCTCCTTCCCTCTTCGTCCCTCTTCCTTCCCTCTCCTCCCCCTCCTTCCCTCTTCGTCCCTCTCCTCCCCCCTCCTTCCCTCTTCGTCCCTCTCCTCCCCCTCCTTCCCTCTTCGTCCCTCTCCTCCCCCCTCCTTCCCTCTTCGTCCCTCTCCTCCCCCCTCCTTCCCTCTTCGTCCCTCTCCTCCCCCCTCCTTCCCTCTTCGTCCCTCTCCTCCCCCCTCCTTCCCTCTTCGTCCCTCTCCTCCCCCCTCCTTCCCTCTTCGTCCCTCTCCTCCCCCCTCCTTCCCTCTTCGTCCCTCTCCTCCCCCCTCCTTCCCTCTTCGTCCCTCTCCTCCCCCCTCCTTCCCTCTTCGTCCCTCTCCTCCCCCCTCCTTCCCTCTTCGTCCCTCTCCTCCCCCCTCCTTCCCTCTTCGTCCCTCTCCTCCCCCCTCCTTCCCTCTTCGTCCCTCTCCTCCCCCCTCCTTCCCTCTTCGTCCCTCTCCTCCCCCCTCCTTCCCTCCTCTTCCCTCTCCTCCCCCCTCCTTCCCTCTTCGTCCCTCTCCTCCCCCCTCCTTCCCTCTTCGTCCCTCTCCTCCCCCTCCTTCCCTCTTCGTCCCTCTCCTCCCCCCTCCTTCCCTCTTCGTCCCTCTCCTCCCCCCTCCTTCCCTCTTCGTCCCTCTCCTCCCCCCTCCTTCCCTCCTCTTCCCTCTCCTCCCCCCCTCCTTCCCTCTTCGTCCCTCTCCTCCCCCCTCCTTCCCTCTTCGTCCCTCTCCTCCCCCCTCCTTCCCTCTTCGTCCCTCTCCTCCCCCCTCCTTCCCTCTTCGTCCTCTCCTCCCCCCTCCTTCCCTCCTCTTCCCTCTCCTCCCCCCTCCTTCCCTCTTCGTCCCTCTCCTCCCCCCTCCTTCCCTCTTCGTCCCTCTCCTCCCCCCTCCTTCCCCTCTTCGTCCCTCTCCTCCCCCCTCCTTCCCTCTTCGTCCCTCTCCTCCCCCCTCCTTCCCTCTTCGTCCCTCTCCTCCCCCCTCCTTCCCTCTTCGTCCCTCTCCTCCCCCCTCCTTCCCTCTTCGTCCCTCTCCTCCCCCCTCCTTCCCTCTTCGTCCCTCTCCTCCCCCCTCCTTCCCTCTTCGTCCCTCTCCTCCCCCTCCTTCCCTCTTCGTCCCTCTCCTCCCCCCTCCTTCCCTCTTCGTCCCTCTCCTCCCCCCTCCTTCCCTCTTCGTCCCTCTCCTCCCCCCTCCTTCCCTCTTCGTCCCTCTCCTCCCCCCTCCTTCCCTCTTCGTCCCTCTCCTCCCCCCTCCTTCCCTCTTCGTCCCTCTCCTCCCCCCCTCCTTCCCTCTTCGTCCCTCTCCTCCCCCCTCCTTCCCTCTTCGTCCCTCTCCTCCCCCTCCTTCCCTCTTCGTCCCTCTCCTCCCCCCCTCCTTCCCTCTTCGTCCCTCTCCTCCCCCCTCCTTCCCTCCTCTTCCCTCTCCTCCCCCCTCCTTCCCTCTTCGTCCCTCTCCTCCCCCCTCCTTCCCTCTTCGTCCCTCTCCTCCCCCCTCCTTCCCTCTTCGTCCCTCTCCTCCCCCCTCCTTCCCTCTTCGTCCCTCTCCTCCCCCCTCCTTCCCTCTTCGTCCCTCTCCTCCCCCCTCCTTCCCTCCTCTTCCCTCTCCTCCCCCCTCCTTCCCTCTTCGTCCCTCTCCTCCCCCCTCCTTCCCTCTTCGTCCCTCTCCTCCCCCCTCCTTCCCTCTTCGTCCCTCTCCTCCCCCCTCCTTCCCTCTTCGTCCCTCTCCTCCCCCCTCCTTCCCTCCTCTTCCCTCTCCTCCCCCCTCCTTCCCTCTTCGTCCCTCTCCTCCCCCCTCCTTCCCTCTTCGTCCCTCTCCTCCCCCCTCCTTCCCTCTTCGTCCCTCTCCTCCCCCCTCCTTCCCTCTTCGTCCCTCTCCTCCCCCCTCCTTCCCTCTTCGTCCCTCTCCTCCCCCCTCCTTCCCTCTTCGTCCCTCTCCTCCCCCCTCCTTCCCTCTTCGTCCCTCTCCTCCCCCCTCCTTCCCTCTTCGTCCCTCTCCTCCCCCCTCCTTCCCTCTTCGTCCCTCTCCTCCCCCCTCCTTCCCTCTTCGTCCCTCTCCTCCCCCCTCCTTCCCTCTTCGTCCCTCTCCTCCCCCCTCCTTCCCTCTTCGTCCCTCTCCTCCCCCCTCCTTCCCTCTTCGTCCCTCTCCTCCCCCCTCCTTCCCTCTTCGTCCCTCTCCTCCCCCCTCCTTCCCTCTTCCCCCCGCACATCAGTCATTTCCTTCGCCCCTCCATGCCCCCCTTCCTCTCTGAAAGCCTCTTCGTTCCTTTCCTCCTCCATCCTCTCCTCCTCGTCCCTCTCCTGCCCCCTTCTTTCCTCTTCGTTCCTCTCCTGCCCCTTTTTTTCCTCCTCGCCCCTCTCCTCCACCCTCCTATCCTCCTTGTCCCTCTCCTCCCCTCTCTCTCCCTCTTCTTCCCGCTCCTCCTCCCAACTTCCCTGTTCGTTCTTCTCCTCCCGCTTCTTTCCCTCTTCCCCCCTCACATCATCGACCTTATTCTCGCCTCCATGCCTCCCCACCGTTTCCCCATGCGCCCTCTTCCCCCGCTTCTCCCAACGCGCACTCTTTAACCCACACCCACTCCCCCTATGCAGCGCTCTTGCATGACGCACCATGTGATCTCGACGCGTGAATGCCCGAGGGCAGTGGGGATGAGGGCATGGATGCTGGAGATTGGGGGGCAGGGAGAGGGATGGAGAGAGCATGGGATGGGGAGAAGGAGAAAAACAGCTCATACAGGGAAGACTTTCTTGTTTTGGGGGGGGGGTTTGTAATTTTAATAATCTTTAAAAACGCCTGCAACAAGAAGGCAATGAGGAGGACAGAGCGAGAGGATTGCCAAGAGGAAGAGGAAGAGGAAGGGGAAGAGGACGGGGAAGGGGAAGAGGAAGGGGAAGGGGAAGAGGAATAGGAGAAGAAGAAGGGGAAGAGGAAGGGCAAGAGGAAGAGGAAATGAGAAGGAACAAGGGAAGAGGATGGTGGGAAAGGGAAAGGCAGAAGGTTGATTCTCGAAAGGGGAAGAAAATGGGGGGGTGGGAGGGAGGGAGAGAGCAAGGGCAACCCACCCGAGGAGCATATGGGTTGTGCACAATCAAGTGCCTCTGTAAATGGCAATCTGATGCAAACGCCTTGTTGCAGTCAGCATGTGGGCACACGAACGACCTCTGCAGATGGGCAGGAGCGATCAGGTGCCTCTGTAACTGGTAGTCTTCTGGAAACACATGCAGGTTGAAGAGGAGAGAAGCACCACGAACGACCGGCCTCTGCAGCTGAAGAGGAGGGAGGGAGGGAGGACGTGAGGGAGTGACAGAGAGAGGGAGTGAGGGATTGAGCATTGTTTTGTTAACGTTTCCCCCCGAAAAAAACGCCCTGTCACACTCCTCACACACGAAGGACTGGGTTGCTGGCCTCACCTCTGCACGGATCAGTACCTGCCATAAAGAAGAGCAGCAGTAGGAAAGGAAGTCTGAAGCAAAAGACGATAGTCTTTCTAGAAAAAAAACTGTAACCCTTTGTCACACTCCTCACACACGAAGGACTGGGTTGTTAGCCTCACCTCTGCCGCCCTCCCTCCTCCACCATCACTGCTCTCCCCGTGAATTTTCACCGCTGCTCCTATTATGCTGCCCTCCTTCACACACAGGGAGTGAGTTGCTGCTTTCTGCTCTGCCGCCCTCCCTCCTCCACCATCACTGCTCTCCCCGTGAATTTTCACCGCTGCTCCTATTATGCTGCCCTCCTTCACACGCAGGGATTGAGTTGCTGCTTCCTGCTCTGCTGCTCCTTGCTCTGCCGCCCTCCCTCCTCCACCATCTCTGCTCTTCCCGTGAATTTGCACCGCTGCTCCTGTTATGCTGCCCTCCTTCGCACGCAGTGATTGAGTTGCTGCTTCCTGATTTGCTGCTCCCTGCTCTGCTGCTCCCTGCTCTGTCCCCCCCCTTCCCCCTTCATCCCCCTCCTCCCTCCTCCTTGCCTCTCCATCCGTCTCCTCCCCTTTCCGTACCTCGCCCCTCTCCTCGCCCCTCTCCTCGCCCGTCCGCTTTCCTTCCCTTTCCTCCCCTCTCTCTCCCTCTGCTTCGTTCCTCTCCTCCCCTCTCTCTCCCTCCTCGCCCCCTTCCTCCCCCCTCCTTCCCTCCTCGTCCCTCTCCTCCCCCTTCTCTCCCGCTTCCCCACTCACAGCATCAGCCTCCTTCCCTCCACACCTCCCCACCGCTCCCTTACGCGCTCTCCTCCCCTTCTTTCCCCACATCCTCAGCTCATTGCTTATCCCAGCGTTGATCAAGCTGCCCCTAGTCTTCCTCTCCCCGCGCGAAACACCAATCACCCCGCCGCTAGTCCCCTCTTCCTCGCAGTGTTCCGTTCTTACATGCTTCAGCTTCTTCCCACTTCCCCCCTCCTCCCAGTGCTGCCCCAAAGCATGCTGCAGCCTCTCCCCTCTCCCCCATTCCCCGCAGTGTTCGATCCGTACATGGCACACCAGGGCATCTCGGTGCTTGAATGATCGGGGACAATGGGGGTTATGAGGGCACAGGAGCTGGTGATTGGTTGGGTGGGGGTGGGGAAGGCAGCAGGGAGAGGAAGGAAATACAAGAACCATCGATTGAGCTGCAAATCCTCCGTCCTCACATGGCACACCAGGGCGTCTCAGTGCTTGAATGTTCGGGAGCAGTGCGGATGATGAGGGCATGGGAGCTGGTGATTGGGGGTTGCAGTTGGGGAAGAGAACAGGGAGAGAAAATACAGGAACCCTCGATTGAGCTGCGATTCCTCCGTCCTTACATGGCACACCAGGGCGTCTTGGTGCTTGAATGCTCGGGTGCAGTGCGGATGATGAGGGCACGGGAGCTGGTGTGGTGATCACCCGGGATACGGCGGATGGGGAAGAAAACAGGGAGGGGATAAATCAAGCCGCAAGTGTTCCGTCCTTACATGGCACACCAGGGCGTCTTGGTGCTTGAATGCTCGGGTGCAGTGCGGATGGTGCGGGCACGGGAGCTGGAGATCGCGGGGGTGGTGGGGGGAAGAAAACAGGGAGAGGATAAATGAAGCTGCAAGTGTTCCGTCCTGACATGTCACACCAAGGTTATGAGGGCACAGGAGCTGGTGATGCGGGGAGAATGCGGGAAAATGAAGGGGGTGAGAACCAGGAAATCTCACCCGAGGGGCGTTGGGTTGGTGCACTAGAAGGTGCCTCGTTAGCCGGTATTGATCAGCGAACGCCTTTTGGCAATTGGTGTGCGGACATACAAACGACCTCCGCTGCAGAGCAGAATGGAGGGGGCATGAGGCGCAATGAGATAACAAGTTCCAGCGTACTAGAGCCGGCACTAGTGTGAGAAGCAAGATGAGCAAGAGGAGCAAGAGGTGCAAGGGGTGCAAGAGGAGCAAGAGGGGCAAGAGGGGCAAGAGGGGCAAGAGGGGCAAGAGGGGCAAGAGGGGCAAGAGGGGCAAGAGGGGCAAGAGGGGCAAGAGGGGCAAGAGGGGCAAGAGGGGCAAGAGGGGCAAGAGGGGCAAGAGGGGCAAGAGGGGCAAGAGGGGCAAGAGGGGCAAGAGGGGCAAGAGGGGCAAGAGGGGCAAGAGGGGCAAGAGGGGCAAGAGGGGCAAGAGGGGCAAGAGGGGCAAGAGGGGCAAGAGGGGCAAGAGGGGCAAGAGGGGCAAGAGGGGCAAGAGGGGCAAGAGGGGCAAGAGGGGCAAGAGGGGCAAGAGGGGCAAGAGGGGCAAGAGGGGCAAGAGGGGCAAGAGGGGCAAGAGGGGCAAGAGGGGCAAGAGGGGCAAGAGGGGCAAGAGGGGCAAGAGGGCAAGAGGAGCAAGAGGGGCAAGAGGGGCAAGAGGGGCAAGAGGGGCAAGAGGGGCAAGAGGGGCAAGAGGGGCAAGAGGGGCAAGAGGGGCAAGAGGGGCAAGAGGGGCAAGAGGGGCAAGAGGGGCAAGAGGGGCAAGAGGGGCAAGAGGGGCAAGAGGGGCAAGAGGGGCAAGAGGGGCAAGAGGGGCAAGAGGGGCAAGAGGGGCAAGAGGGGCAAGAGGGGCAAGAGGGGCAAGAGGGGCAAGAGGGGCAAGAGGGGCAAGAGGGGCAAGAGGGGCAAGAGGGGCAAGAGGGGCAAGAGGGGCAAGAGGGGCAAGAGGGGCAAGAGGGGCAAGAGGGGCAAGAGGGGCAAGAGGGGCAAGAGGGGCAAGAGGAGCAAGAGGAGCAAGGGGAGCAAGGGGAGCAAGGGGAGCAAGGGGAGCAAGGGGAGCAAGGAAAGCTCACCCGAGCATTGGGTCTGTGCACACGAAGGTGCCTCGTTAGCTTGTAATTCATGACGAACGAGGTGGCATTTGAGGCACCTTTTGAGGCGCCTCAAAAGACATTTGAGGCACCTACTAAAAAGCAAAAGGGAGCTCACCCGAGGATTGGGTTTGTGCACATGAAGGTGCCTCGTCAGACGGCAATCATTGGCGAAGGCCTTGTGGCAACCCACACGCGGGCACACGAACGAGCGCTGCTGCAGAATGGGCAAAGGGGCAGGCGGTAAGAGGGGAAGACGGGGCGCAATCGTGGGCAGAGGGGCAGGCCGTTAGTGGCAAAAGTGAGTTGAAGGCCTTGAGGCAACCCACACGCGGCCTTTGCTGCAGAACGGGCAACGGAGCAGGCGGCAAGAGGGGCAGGCGGCAAGAGGGGAGGGAAGGAGCCGGCACTAATGTGTGTGAGGGAAGGAGAGCGTGAGGGAGTGAGTGAAGGGGAGGGGGGGGAGGGGAGGGAGAGGGTGGGTGACTGCGTGAGTGAATGAGCACACGAGTGGGCGAGTGAGTGAGGAAAACGCACCTGCTTTGAACGGTGCTTCAAGTAGGTGCCCAGGTGCTTGCCTAACGTTGCCCACCGACCAAAAGCCTTCCCACACTCTTTGCACACATAGCGCTTCTCACGCCCCGCCTCCCCTCTCTCTTCCTCCCTCTCCCTCTCCTCCTCCCTCTGCTTCTTCTTCCCCTCCCCTCTCTCCTTCTCCACCGTTCTTTTCCCCTTCTCTCTCCCTTTTCCCTCTTCCCTTTCCTCCCTCGTCAACTCTTCCTTCTCCTTCCCACTTTCACCAGATAACTCGTTAATATCCCGCCACCTATTGTCCCCTATTGGAATTTCCACCACATCATCATCCTCCTCCTCTTCTTCCTCACACTCTCTCCCACGCTCCCCCTCACTCTCCCTCCCACACTCCCACACACACTCCAACCCACACTCTCCTACACACTCCCCCACACACACCACTTCATACTCCTCCCCATCCCCATCTTCATTCACCTCTTCCCCCTCCCCGACCTCTCCCCCCTCCCCCACCTCTCCCCCCTCCCCCACCTCTTCCCCCTCCCCCACCTCTCCCCCCTCCCCCACCTCTCCCCCCTCCCCCACATCTTGCCCTTCAACCACCTCTTTCCCCCCCGCGTGTAACCCTTCCGCGCATCCTCTTCCTCCCTCTATCCCGCAAACCCCCATGCGACCATCCCCCATCCCACCGCCAAGCACCCCCATCATCACTCCCTCAGTCTCACCGCCCCATAGCCTCGCCCCGCCACCCTCCCCGCCACCTGCCCCGCCGCCCTCCCCGCGGCATCCCCCTGCTTCCGCCACATCCCGCTTCTTCCCCCCTTCCCCCTGCTCATCCTTAACCGCTTCTCCCCCGACCCGCGGAACCCCTTCCGCTTGCGCGGTATCAAGCAAAAGCTCCGCGTCATTTCCCTGCGCGAGAACGGGCAGAACCGCCACGTCATCGCGCCGTTGCGCGGGAACAGGTGGAACTGCAGCGTCATTTCTCCGCTGCGCGAAAACATGCAGAATCCGCGGGGAGTAGCACCGAAAAGGCGGCGGGCCGTCCGGCAAACTTGCGCCTCCGGATGACCCGCCATTACGCGTTACAAGGCGCATGGCATCTAATACTGTAACCCGCAAGTCCATTTCCAACCTTCTCCAGCACCCTACTCTACGACGGGGCAATGCGGAACGGCGCAGGCACACCCGCAACGGCGCCCCCTTACTACAGGTACAGTATCACACCGGCGTTTATTTATTCCCGCGGATTGGCGGGGTACTGACGGGGCAAAGCGGTCCGGCGGGACAAAGCGGTACCGACGGGGCAATGCGGAACGGCTGGGTGACGGCGGGGCAATGCGGAACGGCGCAGTGTACTCTATACTCAATCACACCCGCAACGGCACGGCACCCACTTACTAACGCTATACCACACCCGCGCGGTATTCCCGAACCCGCAATGCAGCGCGTACTCTATACGCTCACTCGGTATACCCTTCCTGTGGATAATGTATAGCTTCTCTTGCACTTGCTATACCCAACCCGTTGAAACGGCCCGCATCGCAACGAGCATCCCAGTTCGGAAGGTGAGATGTAGGCGAAGCGCTAACGGGAAACTGTAAAATAGCAGGGTGCAAACAAAGCTGGAAAATTCGCGCCCCCCAATGTGGTTACACGATGCGACATTGGCTGCCCCGCGTTAGGGAGTGCTGGGGTTAAAAACATTGGAAAAAACATTCTCTAAAAAAATGACATGTTTGTCAAGGGAGGAACTGAACTCCCTACACCATAAAAACCAGCTCCGTTCAATATTATCAACTGGTACAATTGGCGTAAAGACGTAGTCTTGCATGCCATTGCGTTTACATGCAACTCATTTCTAAAGTTAGGAACAAGGTGGGGGGGTGCATCCCCCACGTGTCCCCTTATGTGTTTCAGTCAGCCCATAGGGCAGAGCCGAACACTCCAAGAACACGTTGACTAAAGTACCAATCATTTCGTTTTGCCAGGGTGGGGTAGATGGCGGGGGTGCGTCTCCCGCTTGTCATCTTTCAGCTGCCTCAAGCCGTGCGGTGAGCCGGCATGTGAACAGTGATGGGGCACTCCAACATCATGTTAATAATATGGCTGTACGAGATAGCCCACAAGCCATCACTTCGCTTTGCTTGGGTGGGGCGTGTGGCGCGGGTGCTTCTCCCGCTTGTCTCCTTTCAGCTGCTTCAAGCCATGCGGTAGAGCCGGCATGAGCGCAGCCAGGCATTCTGACACCGCGTTGGGATTGCCTGGCAGGTTGAGGATCTGAGGGGGGGATGGTGAGTGGGTGGTGTCAAAAGAAGTGATTGCGGAGACAGTGAATGCACGAGAGCAGCCAGGCACTCAGAGAAACTACGTTGAGGTTCATGCACCCATGCACGTTATGCACCCATGCATCTCATGCACCCAAGCACCCATGCATATCATGAACCCATGCACCCATGCATATCATGAACCCATGCACCCATGCATGTCATGAGCCGATGCACCCATGCATGGCATGTCATCTCACCATATTAGAGCCCCAATGCCTGCAGCTATGCAGTAATGCATGTGCCATCCACCCACCCATTCCATGTCACTGTGCATCATGCACCCATGCACCCATGCATGATACATGCCATCTCACAAGGGTGGAGCCTCTCATGCCAGCAGCCATGCACATGCATCATGTACCATCCACGCAACCATTCCGTTTCGCTGTGCATCATGCGCTCATGCACCAAAAAATATCTTCTCACCAGAGTGGAGCCTCTGATGCCAGCAGCCATGCGCGAGAGCATGGCAAAGGGCGTGATCTGCAGGGGAGAAACGAGAGAAGAAAAGCAGTGGATAGAACAAACAAGGGCCCGTGAGAGACGGAAAAGAATGACACAGGGAAAGGACTTGTCACCTTATATGTTGTCAAGCCCGAACTTCCCTGCCCTTCCTCTCTTAAAGAAAAGAAAGAGAAACGAAGTATATAAAAAAGCCTACCCTGAGGCTCTCCTGCAGCATGGCATGGGTGAGTCCCGGTGCAGAGCGGTGGAAGAGTGGCGCACAGGCCTCAGGAGTGACATCCCTAGGGGAGAACCCCGTGCCCCCTGTCGTTATAATCACATCCACTGCTCCAATAACAGCAGCACCACCACCACCATCACCACCAGTACCACCAGCAGCAGTGCTCCCATCAGTTGATGCGTCAATCTTGTCCCCATCTGCCCACGCCTTAACCTGCGCTGCTATCTTGTCTGGGTCATCTGGAACGACAGCTGTCGCCACCACTGCTGCTGCTGGCAGCAGCGACTGCACTGCCTGCACTGCCCTGGGCCCACTGGGTGAGAAGAAAGGGGGGTGATGTGAGGGAGACAAGGGATGAATGGCGTATGGAGTTGGTAATTTGGCACCAGTGCTGTTGCCACCACTGCTGCTGCTGGCAGCAGCGAATGCACTGCCTGGACTGCCCTGGGGCCACTGAGAGAAGCGGGAGGAAGGAGGCTGTGTTGACCTGGACTGGAAGGTTGAGGATGTGAGGGGGTGCAATGTGGTTAGGGCAAAGGGAACGGGATAAAGGAACTTTGTGTTGCGTTCTCACTCACCTGGCGTCTGCTGCTAGTCCTGCCGCCACTGTGTCACTGACAGTCAGGATTGCCACTCGCACACCCGCACCCACAGTGGAGGCAGCAGGAGCGGCAGAAGAGGCAGCAGCAGTAGTATAAGCAGGAGCGGAAGCAGCACCAGCGTTTTGCGTACGCCCATGCCCTTGCCCATGCCCACGCCCATGCCCATGGCTGCACCCACATCCATGCTTCTCCCCCTCCTCTCCCTCCCCTCCCCCTCTCACAGCCTCCCCTCCTCCTGTCCTCCCCACTGCCATCCCAGGGACAGCCAGGCATGCAGCAGCATCAGGCAGCAGCAGCGCGGAGACCAGCGAGCCTGCAGGGAGGGAGCCGTGAGCCTGGGGTAGCTCCAGAAGACAGTGCGCTGAGCGCATGGAGAGCAGGCGACTGCTGATCTGCCTGCCCGTGCTGTCCGCTATGAACCCAGAGAAAGCGGTGGAGGAAGGAGGAGCAGGAGTAGCAGAAGCAGTAGTGGCAGTAGCAGTAGCAGTGGTGAGAGCAGCAGCAGATGAGGCGAGGGCTGCAGGCATGTTGGGTTCCCAGCGGAGGGATGCTCGGTGGTACTCTGGCCGCTCAGGGTCCACACGGAGAGCAGAGGAGATGTGGGCCTGCACCCTGGGGGATGGGGGGAGGAGGGGAGGACGGAAAGAGGTATGGAATGCGGTGCAGTGCGGTGATTGAATGCAGGCATGTTGGGTTCCCAGCGGAGGGATGCGCGGTGGTACTCTGGCCGCTCAGGGTCCACACGGAGGGATGAGGAGATGTGAGCCTGCACCCTGGGGGATGGGAGGAAAGAAGATTATACTTTGGGGGATGGGGGGATGGGATGGGTGCAATGCGGTGAAAAGGCCGAATGCCCAGCAGCACAAACAGGTTCAACGACTTTTGAGACGTCTCAAGAGTCGTTTCCCTCCCTCCTACCCCATTACTCTCCCCCTCGCCTCCTTCCCCTCCCACCACCCCCCCCCTCCCTCCCTCCCCCATTCCGCGCCTTACCTATGCAGCAGGGGATGGCGCCACCCCCCCATCTGCCGTACAGCGGGCAGCACAAACAGGTTGAAGCACACCATGCAGCTGACCGGATTCCCGGGCAGCCCGAAAACTATCGTTCGGTGCTGCTGGGCGGCGTCATCCGTCTTATCTGAGGGGGTTTCAATGGTTGCAAAAGTGAGCGGTTTTCCTGGCTTCATGTGGACCTGAAGATAGAACGGAAAGGGAAGGAATGAAAGGAGGGGAGGGAGGGGGGAATGAGGAGGGAACGGCAAATGGGTAGGGAAGGAGGGAGAGGAGAAAGGATAACAAGGGAGGGACGAGATGGAGGAGGGGTGTAAGAAGCACCCACTCACCCGCCCAAAGTGCACGGTACCAAGCCTCTCAAGCAGCGGCTTGACAAAGTCCCTATCGCCCATGGACACCCCTCCAGACGCCACCACCACATCCGCCCTCGCTGCCAGCGCTCTCACCATCACTCACCCAGAGCCCCATTCACCCCTCCACAACAAGCACTCACCCGCCCAAAGTGCACAGTCCCGAGCCTCTCAAGTAGCGGCTTGACGAAGTCCCTGTCGCCCATTGACACTCCTCCAGACGCCACCACCACATCCGCCCTCGCTGCCAGTGCCCTCACTGCTCCCTGCCAGCCCTCAAACCACCCACTCACCAGGCAAAAGAGCACCCACTCACCCGCCCAAAGTGCACGGTCCCAAGCCTCTCCAGCAGCGGCTTGACGAAGTCCCTATCGCCCATGGACACTCCTCCAGACGATTCTTGAGACGCCTCAGAAATCACCACCACATCCGCCTTCGCTGCCAACGCTCTCACTGCCCCACCTGCCAGCCCTCAAACCAGTCATTCACTCACCCGCCCGAAATGCACGGTCTCAAGCCTCTCAAGTAACGGCTTGACAAAGTCCTATCGCCCATGGACACCCTTCCAGACGCCACCACCACATCCGCCCCCGCTGCCAACACAGTCATTGTCCCCTCTGCCAGCACTCAAACCGTCACTCACCCAGCAAAACAGCACCCACTCACCCACAAAAGCAGCACCCACTCACCCGGCCAAAATGCACGGTGCCCAGCCTCTCAAGTAGCGGCTTGACGAAGTCCCTGTCGCCCATTGACACTCCTCCAGACGCCACCACCACATCCGCCCTCGCTGCCAGCGCTCTCACCATCACTCACCCAGAGCCCCATTCACCCCCCCACAACAAGCACTCACCCGCCCAAAGTGCACAGTCCCGAGCCTCTCAAGTAGCGGCTTGACGAAGTCCCTGTCGCCCATTGACACTCCTCCAGACGCCACCACCACATCCGCCCTCGCTGCCAGCGCTCTCACCATCACTCACCCAGAGCCCCATTCACCCCTCCACAACAAGCACTCACCCGCCCAAAGTGCACAGTCCCGAGCCTCTCAAGTAGCGGCTTGACGAAGTCCCTGTCGCCCATTGACACTCCTCCAGACGCCACCACCACATCCGCCCCCGCTGCCAGTGCCCTCACTCCCCCTCCTGCCAGCACTCATTACCAGCCACTCACCCGCCCAAAGTGCACGTTGCCCAGTCTTTCAAGAAGTGGCTTGACAAAGTCCCTATCGCCCATGGACACCCCTCCAGACGCCACCACCACATCCGCCCCCGCTGCTAGTGCTCTCTGAAACGCTGCTGCCACGGCCTCCTCCGTGTCCGCTGCTATCCCCAGATCCATAGGGGCTGGGCAACTTGCTGATGCTTCTGCGGACGATGCTGCAGCTGCTGATCCCGAGGCTGCTCCTAAGTGTTGTCGCACAGCAGCCAACAGCATGGAGCGGTTGGCGTCCCTTATCTGCACAGCAGGGTGACTCATGGAAAATTCGTTTTAAGAACAGAAGGTGCAAAATCAGGGAGGGAATGACACAAGACACGTGATGACACACTGTGGGCTGCTATCCTGGAAAGCCACGACAATGAGAGGAGATGGTGAGTGGTTGCAGGGTGGGTGGGGGGCATGTATGATATGAGCGAACGCCACGTGGGGTTTCTGAGCTAGGATGATCCAGTTCTCATGTGTGCCATGCGCGATGCGGGGCGACTCACCATGCCGCTGTGCGGGGCGACTCACCATGCCGCGAGGGAGAGTGGCGCTGGCATTCTGTAAAGGGTCTATGAGCTCGTCTCCTGTTGAGAGAACTGCCACTAGAGGCTGCCGGTGCACCTGAGGGTGGGTAGAGGGGGGATAAAAGGGCGGGCGAGAAGGGAGAGAGGGAGGGAGAGTGGCGCTGGCATTCTGTGCAGGGTCTATGAGCTCGTCTCCCATGGAGAGGACTGCTACCAACGGCTGTCGGTGCACCTGAGGGGCGTGGAGGGGGAACAAGAAAGGAGTGACGGCGTGCAGCAGGGTCCATGACCTCGTGGCCTCTGGAGAGGACTGCCACCAACGGCTGGCTGTGCACCTGAGGGGGTGTAGGACGGGGTGACGAGAAGCAGGGTGGTAAGCCGGCCATTTGCCTGCACCTATCATGAGAGATCTACTTCAACACACGCCTCCAGGCTCCAGCACATTGCAAGATAAGAAAGTGAAGCCAAATGAACATGCAAGGCAAGCAAGAAACGGCACTCACATTCACGTGTGCTGCTCCCACGGTTGCCAGCAGCCCTATCTCCGCTGGCCCAAGCCGCTCCCCTGCCTGCAGCACCACCGTGCCCGCTGCCAGATCCGAGCCCTGGAAAGCGACAGGATGAGAGCAGAGGGGATCGGCTAAGGTACAATGTAGAAAGACATGGGGGGCAAAATGTGTGTGTGGTGTACACGCGCTCGCATTCGTGTGGCCGTGTGAATGCAAGGGCGCAGCAGGGAGAACCCAAGGCAGGAATGTCAATCCGCCAGGCTTAACTTCCGTATATCTCCAATTTCCAGATTCCAATTCAGAGGGAGCAATTCCCATGCACGCACCACAGGGCGGATGTCTTGCCCCACTGTAGCGCCCTTCACTATAGTCACACGCCTCTGACCACTGGAGGAGTCAGCAGGCAGCGTATCCTCCACTTGAATCACAGCATCTGCACCCTGGGGAACCAGGCCTGAGGGGGGGGCGAGAGAGGGGAGTGGGAGGGAGAAAAGAAGGTGTAAACGATATAGATTAATCATGATGTGGCCGCTGGAGGAATCAACAGGCACCATGCCTCCTCTTGAATCACCGCATCCGCACCCTGGGGAACCAACCTAGAGAAGGGGGAGAGAGTGGGCGAAAGAGTTCAAAATGGAGCAGATTGGCGATGCAGAATACATACCTCATGGAAAATACATCCATTATGGAAAGTGCGTACCTCCCGTGGTGATGTAAGCGACGGTGCCAGGTGTCACCACCACATTGGCTGCATCATCCCCGGCACGTGCTTCAGCAATGATGGGGTACTCGCCCGGACCGTCCGATGCCACCACAGCGTAGCCATCCTGACATCATGAAAGGGAGAAACCAACATGGGGATGCAATCACAATCGAGTTTGGATTGCTTGTAATTGCTTGACCCGTCCGCTGCCACCACTGCATAGCCATCCTGGCATCATGAATGGGGAATTGTCAAGAAAAACAACACACAGATTACCAAGAGACAGATGCATTCAGAATTGAACCATATCCATCTGGACCGTCCCATGCCACCGCAACAAAGCCATCCTGTGATTACAAAGAAGATCTGACGAAGGAGATCCATTTAAGATCGACTCAAGCTTCACCTTGCGCCGAATTCCACCTCAGCATCGCCAGCCGGGCGTCAGAAAGGGAGGATTTAGAAGGAGACGCACTTCGCGTCGACACAAGGTGTTTGACTGGCCTTTTCAATGCCTGGCTCCTCCAGTGCCACCACATTGTGGCCATGCTTATGAGCGGAAACTCTATTTCTGAAGAATTGCGTTAAAGGATTTGTTACGAAATGTATCATAGTGAATTCCACAAGAAATTTTGTCGGGTTTATAAAAAACCCCATGATCAGTTTCGCTTTCGCTTTGGCATTAGAGCTCTCATCAAGAAGGAAACAGCAGAGCAATTCAGTGACGCCAAGATTGAGCATGGGATGGAAATTCAAATTCAATTGCCTTATCTTGCCTTGATTGAGGCGGGAAACGGCGGCATCGGCTCGGGAGCAATGACATCTTTCGCGAGTACACTTCCTAACGAATTGTTCAGCGAAGCCGTAACCGCTGGAAGAGGTTTCGCGTGCTCGAGAACAAGCTTCTGAGCCTCGTCAACTGACACCATCGGATACGTGGAACTAGGAGCGCCTTCTACGGCGGGAATTCCGCAAGAATGGTGCGCGTCGTCACCATGAGGAGCCATGCTGCTGAGTCAGTAGTACTTTCGGCAATTCCTAGGACTGAGGAGTTAGGCGGCTTTATCACAACACCAGAAATCAATATCTCTGTAGCATAGACCACTGAAGCCATCGATATCCTTGGAACGTATCTCGTGTTGCTGCCTGGTGCTGCTCGGTGCTGCCTGGTAGCGAGGATGGATTTTGGCACCAAAGGTGAGTTTCGATTGGCTGTTTGAGTATCACGTGGAGAAATCAAGGGTGCGTGGCAGCCGAATGTCGTCAGAGTTTCGCTCGTTGGAATCACATTCTGTCAGAAAAAGTGTTCGCTTACAACTGTGGTGTACTGTACTGTAACAAAGCTTCGTGCGACATGACTCTTTGTACAGTACAGTGCCCCAATAGCACCCGCCCCGCACCTGACAAACCAGCAAACCCCGCCCGCAGTTATTCATGCGGGCGGATCATCGATCCGCCCCGCGCGCATGGCGCAAAGTGGCGGCTGGAGCTAGACAGGCTCCGCGCGGCACACAACAAGAAGAGGCACCATGGAGATCTGCGCGCGAATTCGGAACAAGGAAAACACTCCAGTGCGCTTCAACCGTCGGATTCAGATCTGGACATCTATTCCCAGCCCACTGCACAAACCACCTGGGAGTTCTCCAGGAACAGCAAATTCACCACCGTGGTGTCGCGCTCAAGCACGGTTGTCGTCAATCACGCCTTGTGTCAGATTTCATCACCGATGTATACACCTTCTAGAAAAATAATGAACCGTGCGGAACACCTTCTTAGCTACCCACTGATCCCATCATCACCACCAACAGTCACCTGGATCATCCAGATCCATAGCCTGATTCTGCAGTCTAAGCACATTCCCTACTTACTTTCCCTCACTTATCCCCTACAAGCCTGCAGATTAGTGCGGCACTGCATCTCCGATTGCCGTTGATTGATGAAGGCTCCACCGTTTATGCGGTACAGTTTTTAGTATCGTTTCCCGTGTTCCTGAATCCGTCGCCACGCGATGGCGAGGCGATTCGATTACCATCACCAGCAGCAGCACCAGCAGGCTGGCCGACGGACTCTGGCGGCATTCTGTTTCGCCTTCGTCCTATTCCTGCTCGTCGCGGCGTACCTCTTCAGTGGCTTCAAGCCGGGACCGATTCCCACATCGTCCGTGGTACGATCGCTCTATTCTTGAAACAGTTTCCTCTATTTCCTAATCGCCTGATCGTGTGACATTGTAACGAGGTGATTTTTTAGTCGACTCAAGTCACCTCGATCCCCACATCGTCCGTGGTACTGAATTGACTTCATTTGTGCCGTCTGCTCCCTATCGAATGAATCATTCGTCCTTGTCGCCTTTTTGATATATTCCCTCCCATTGTTCAATCCTGTTTTATTCTCGCAATCCGTTACTCTTCAAGGTGTTTCCTGATCAAGATTCCAACCGAGACCTTTTGGTCGTGGATTCGATCAAACACGTGCCGATCAGGACTCCACCTTAAGCCATACATTATGGATCAGGAGTCAATTCGGCACCGTGTCGATCTTTCGTCCGACTACCAGCTTGGCATCTACGAATTCAGAAAAATAAAATCCCTTGCTGTAGTTCTTTTCCCATATCAAGACACGAATCGTTTCACAATGCACTTCTCTGTCCGCGGTTCTGATACGCATCAGTCCAAAATTTAACACATTCTTGTATGCTGGGCTTTCCGTTCAGGATCAGGATCGGGCAAGAGACGGCCTTGGAGGTCCCAGCACGGTCTAGATTTGTAATGCGTTTCCATGTGCTGGCCTTTCCGTTCAGGAGGAGGATCAGGATCGGGCAGGAGACGGTCTTGGAGGCCCCAACACGTCAGATGCGCTGGGAGATGAGCCGGCGGAGCACCAGATTCGGGATTCCAGCAAGCTCAGCCTGAATCTGCCTCCAGTGAAGGGCGCCGGGTACGTGTTTGCTTCTCCCGATCCGTTATAAGTTCACTCAAAATACGCCTACGTGAGCCGGAAGAGCAGGCGATTCGTAATTCTAGTGATCTTAGCCCGAATCTGCCTCCAGTGAAGGGCGCCGGGTACGTCGTTGCTTCTACGGATCTGTTCAGAGTTTACTTAAAGTGCACCTAGATGAGCCGGAGGAGCAGGAGATTCGGGTTTTTAGTCAGCTCAGCCTGAATGTGCCTCTAGTGAAAGGCGCCGGGAACGCTTGCTCTTCTCCGGATCCCCTTAGTCTGTTGGCTACGCTTTCTCGTTTCCTGATCCTCTTACCCTCCAGGCTCGCTTTCTGTGTTTGTCGCTTGCAGATCCTACCTTCCGATCAAACTTCCCAAGCATGTTCCCTGTGTCGACCTCGCTATTCGTCGTTTGACTTGTTCCGTTGGCTGTTTCGTTGCTTGCAGGGAGCCGGCAGACTCGGACATGGAACCTCCCGGAAGAGCCGCGGACGAGGAGGAGGGCAGCGAATCAGCCGCGCAAGAGGGCCTGCGGGGGGCGGGCGGGGGGGATATGCGCACGCAGGCGGAAAAAGAGAGAGACGCGCAGGACGCTGCCGCGCAGGAGGGGGATTCGGAGGGCGCGGATGGTCAGGAGGAGGAAGGTTTGTTGCATAGCCGCACTGGTGGCGATGCGAAGGCAGCGGCGGCGGCGGCGGCTGACGCGGCAGCTGCTGCTGATGCTGATGGTGATGGGGTTGGAGGTTCTGAAGGGGTGGGAGGGGCGAAGGTAGGAGAGGAAGAAGAGAAGGCCGAGAAGGGTGAGGAGGAGAAGGGTGGTGCGGAGAAAGAGAAAGAAGGAGAAGAGGAGGAGAGTGGGGTGGAAGGGAAGGGTTCTGATGCGGAGGAGAAGGATGAGGAGAGTGCGGTTGGGGAGGCGAAGGGAGGGAGGATTGCAGGTGGGAAGAAGGCGAAGAAAAAGGACGAGGCGGAGGAGGGGGACGAGGAAGACGGGAGTGGTACGAAGGGTTCTGAGGCTAAGGAAGCGGAAGAGGGCGAGGAGGAAGAGGTTGGCATGAAGAAGAAGGGGGTGAAGGGTAAAGGAAAGGATGGAGAGGAGAACGAGGAGGACGAGGAGGAGAGTAAGCCGAAGAAGGGTAAGGGGAAGGAGGAGGCGGAGGAGGAGGGTGGTAGTGAGGAGGAGGAGGAAGAGAGCGCTGGAGGCAAGAAGAAGAAGGGCAAAGGCGAGGAGGACGCGGAAGAGGAGGAAGAGGCCTCCCCGATTGCGAAGAAGGCGAAAAAGGCGAAAACGAGCGAAGAGGAAGAGGAGGGGAGTGATGGGGAAACGGTGGGGAAGGGAGGGAAGGGAGATGAGAGCGAGGAAGACGAGGAAAAGCCGAAAAGCAAGAAAGCGAAGAAGGTGAAAGCGAGTGAGGAAGAGGGAGAGGAGGAGGAGAAGGGGTCCGAGAGTGAAGTGGAAGAGGAGGAGGAGAGTGTGAGCAAGAAGGGAGCAAAGAAGAGGGCAGTAGCAAAGGAAAGTGAGGAGGAAGAGGAGGGTGAGAAAAAGAGCGAGGAAGGGGAGGAGGACGGGGAGGAGGGGGACGTGAAGCCGAGCAAAAAGGTGAAAGGGGCGAAGAAGGCGAGGAAGGAGGAGGGAGAGGATGCGGAAGAGGAGGCTGTTGGTGGGAAGGGGGGGAAGGATGAGGAGGGGGATGATGGGAAGGGGGAGAAAGAGGTAGAGAGCACAGCTGATGCGGAGGTTGAGGAGGATACTGTGGCAGCTGAAGCAGGGAAGGCTGGAGTGAAGGGTGCGAAGGGGAAGAAGAAGAATGCGAAGGAGGTGGGTGAGGAGGAGGAGGAAGGGGAAGGAGGAGGAAAGAGTGAGGATGGTGGGAAGGAGAGTGGGGAGGAGGAAGAGGAGACAGGGACGGCAAAGAGGAAAGTGAAGAAGAGTGGAAAGGAGGAAGAGGAAGCTGATGCTGGTGAGGGGGAGGGGGGAGAGGAGGAGGAGGGGGTGAGCGGAAGCAAAGGTGGGGCAAAGAGGAAGGCGAAGAAGGGAAGCGAGGAGGGAGAGGAGGAAGGGTCGGAGGAAGGCGGAGAAGAGAGTGAGGAGGAGGAGGGGAAGGGCAGCAAGAAGAGTGGAAAGGCGAGCAAGAAGGGAAAGACGAAGAGCAAGAAGCTGAGGGGAGAGAGCGCGGATGGGGCTGAGCAGGATGGGGAGGAGGAGGGTGGTGGCACTGCAGAGACAGTGGTTGGGAAATACGAGGTGAGCGTGCTTGCTGTTGAGATTACTCTTTTAGACCTGAGCTTTCGGGCTGGCTGCTGTTTCGTGTGTCACTGTGAGTGTGAGTCCCGCTGTGAACAAGCGCCTGAAGCTGAAGCTAGTTCTGAGGCGCCTCAAAACTAGATTTCGTGTGTCACCGTGTGGTGAGTCCCACCGTGAACAAGCGCCTGAAGCTGATACGGACCTGTTCCCCCTCCCAGCGCCATCACTCAGTTTTTTCCTTTCCCCGCCCCTCCCTCTCACCCGTTCCAGGCGTGTCACCCTGAGCTGTCAGAGATAGTACTGTGCCTCAGCCCCGCAATGAACAAGCGCATGAAGCTGAAGCTCAACTGAGGCCCGCACCAAGGCCTCCTTCACCTCACTCCTTCACTCTTTCACACTGTTCCTGTTCCTGCCCTTCTGCACGTTCCCGCCCCCAACCACCACCCAGGCGTGCGACCCTGAGCTGTCAGAGATAGTGCCGTGCCTGAGCCCAGCAATGAACAAGCGCATGAAGCTGAAGCTGAACACCAAGGTGATGGAACACTACGAGCGCCACTGCCCCTCGGATGACATCATGCCGCACTGCCTCGTGCCCCAACCTCCTGGTTACAAGGTGAGAAGCAGGCACGGGTGCAGGGGGGCAGGGCTGCGGGAAAACAGGGGAGCAGGGGGGTGTGGTCGGGGAGGGAGCGCCTGAAGCTGAAGCTGAGCACCAAGGTGAGAGACGACCCTCTGACGACCCGCCTCGTGCCGCAGCCTCCTGGCTACAAGGTGAGAGACGGTGGGGGGTGCAGAGTGCCAGGGTGGCACAGGGTCAAGGTGGGTGCATGGGAAGTGCAGGACATAAGTGGCAGGTGCAGTGAACAAGGTGAGCGACAGTGGCAGGTGCAGGATTTCGAGTGGACGTGTGTGCTTTCCCCGCTCTTCTCTCCGCCCCCAGATTTCCATCCCGTGCAGCCGGGACGACGTGTGGCTTGCAGATGTGCCGCACACGCTGCTGGCAACAGAGAGATCTAAACACCCCCCTCCCTCTCCCCATCTCTCCCCTCTCTCCCTTCTCCAGACCTCCATCCCCTGGCCGCGCAGCAGGGACGAGGTGTGGCGGGCCAACGTGCCCCACACTCTGCTGGCAACGGAGAAATCGGATCAGCACTGGATGGTGGTGGACGGCGAAATCATCCGATTCCCGGGCGGCGGCACTCACTTCCCTGGGGGCGCAGACAAATACATTGAACGCATTGGCAAGGTGAGAAGGGGAGGGGAGGGGAGGGGAGGGGAGGGGGGGAAGGATTGTGAGAGCATGTTAGTGACCTTGCACGTACTTCCCTGGGGGCGCAGACAAATACATTGAGCGCATTGGGAAGGTGAGAAGGGGCGGAGGAGGAGGAGGAGGGGAGAAGTAGGGGTGAATGGGTGATCTCGCGATTTCCAAGAGTACATGGGGGGGGTGGAGGCACGCCCTCCTTCCCTCTCTCGCCTTCTCTCCTTCCATTTCTCTGCTGATCACGTGATGGGCATCTTGGTAGTAGAAAAATCTCAAGCGCCATGCCAGAAATAACCCCATCCCAACCACCCCATTTCCCCCCCTGCCCGCCCCCTCCCTCCCTGCATCTCCCCTACCCTTTCAATCAGATGATGGGAGACGAGAACGGCAACTTCTCAGTGGGCGGCAAGATCCGGACGGTTCTGGACATCGGGTGCGGGGTGGCGTCGTTCGGCGCGTACCTGCTGGAGCACTCTGTGCTGACCATGTCGGTGGCTCCCAACGACGTGCACGAGAATCAGATCCAGTTCGCGCTCGAGAGGGGTCTGCCTGCGTTCCTGGGGGTGATGGGCACCCAGCGCCTTCCGTTCCCCTCCTTGGCGTTCGACCTGGCCCACTGCTCCCGCTGCCGCATTGACTGGCTGCAGAGAGGTACGTCCCACACTCTATGGTAACAAGTCTGTGCTGGGCTACTTCACCTCCTGGAGCACTCAGTGCTGACCATGTCGGTGGCTCCCAACGACGTGCACGAGAATCAGATCCAGTTCGCCTTGGAAAGGGGCTTACCTGCGTTCCTGGGGGTGATGGGCACGCAGCGTCTTCCTTTTCCTTCCTTGGCGTTCGACCTGGCTCACTGTTCCCGCTGCCGCATCGACTGGCTGCAGAGAGGTAATCACCACACATCACACTCAGTGAGTCCTCACCATGTCGGTGGCTCCCAACGACGTGCACGAGAATCAAATCCAATTTGCGCTGGAGAGGGGTCTGCCTGCCTTCTTAGGCGTGATGGGCACACAGAGGCTGCCGTTCCCCTCCTTGGCGTTCGACCTGGCCCACTGCTTCCGCTGCCGCATTGACTGGCTGCAGAGAGGTAAGCTCCACATCACACTCAGGGAGGCGAGTGCGACGAGGGGCTCGCCTGTGTTCTTCAGCATGATGGGCACACAGCGTTTGCCCTTCCCTTCACTGGCGTTCGACCTGGCCCACTGCTCCCGCTGCCGCATCGACTGGCTGCAGAGAGGTGAGCACCACATCACATCACACACCCAGTGCTGAGGTTATCAGACCTGTGGCACCCAACGACATGCACTCGGTGCTGACCATGTCGGTGGCTCCCAACGACGTGCACGAGAATCAGATCCAATTCGCGCTCGAGAGGGGTCTGCCGGCCTTCTTAGGCGTGATGGGCACTCAGCGCCTGCCGTTCCCTTCTCTGGCGTTCGATCTGGCCCACTGCTCCCGCTGCCGCGTTGACTGGCTGCAGAGAGGTGGGTGCCGCATTCGAGCATGCCTTGAGCTGTCTCACCTCATAGATACCGCCTTGTTGCCCACCTGCCTACACCTCCAATGCTGCCCCTCCCTGCTGGCCTGCCTGTCTGCCCTTCAGACGGCCTATTCCTGTTGGAGTTGGATCGGGTGATCCGGCCTGGAGGCTACTGGGTGTGGTCCGCACCGCCTGTGTGCCACGTGTCTTGAGGCATCTCATAACGCCCCCTTGCTCCTCGCTCCACCTATGTGCTTCAAAACACCCCCTGCGCCCTGCGCCCAATTGCCCCCCCTGTTGCACCCTCCCCGCCTGTCTTTCTGCTCTGCAGACGGCCTGCTGCTGCTGGAGCTGGACCGTGTCATTCGGCCGGGCGGCTACTGGGTGTGGTCTGCGCCACCTGTGTATCGGGAGGACGAGGAGAACCAGAAGCTGTGGACGGACATGCTGGCGTTCATGGGGTGAGTTGCGGGGGGCGCCTGTCAGTATGATTCAAGAGAACATTATGATATGCAGTGTGAGGACGAGGAGAACCAGAAGCTTTGGGCTGACATGCTGGCGTTCATGGGGTGAGATGGGGGGGGTGAGGATGTATGAACGATGCATGAGAAAGAGCATCTTCTGCTCTCCTCCGTTGACCGTCTTGCTTGTACCAATCACCGCATTAATACAAAGGACCGTTTGAGAAAGAGCATCGGGCAGTGTGAGGACGAGGAGAACCAGAAGCTGTGGACGGACATGCTGGCGTTCATGGGGTGAGTGGGGACGGGTGAAATTGCGTGGAGCTTACTGAATAAGTAATGGAGAGATTCGAGCAATGCACTAGAAGGAGCATGCCGAGTTGATGAAAAAGGCAGTGAGATGGCAAGTAGAGTTAAAAGCTGTGAACGGGCACGCTCGAGTTTATAGTGTGAAGGTGCAGGCCGGGCAGCACCAAAAATCAGGACACTGATGCTCATGCTCCTCCTTTATTCCCTCTCCACCCCTCTCCACCCCTCGCCACGCCTCTTCCAGGCGCATGTGTTGGAAGGTGAAGGCGCAGAGCGGGCAGACGGCCATCTTCAAGAAGCCAAAGACGAATCTGTGCATCAAGAAGCGGGCGGCAGACGTAGAGCCGCCCCTGTGCGATGCCGCCCGGGTGTCCCCCAACTCGGCCTGGTACACTCCCATGGACGCGTGCGTCAACACGGTGCCGAAAGGTGAGAAACTGCCCTGGGGTCAAGATTCCCACAGGGCACACATAGCACTTTCACGCATCTGAGGCATGCGCCCGGGTGTCGCCCAATTCCGCCTGGTAGACGCCCATGGACGCATGCGTGAACACGGTGCCCAAAGGTGAGAGGGGTTCCTTGTGTAGCAGTAATTTACATCAAATTCACGTGCATGGCGCATGTATCCGGGTGTCCCCCAACGCGGCCTGGTACACTCCCATAAATGCATGCGTGAACACGGTGCCCAAAGGTGAGAGGGGGGCTTTCTTGTCTTGAGGTAAAGAACGGCATGTGTGCAAACCCAAATGTGTATGGCGCATGTGTCCAGGTGTCGCCCAACTTTGCCTGGTACATGCCCATGGACGCGTGCTCAACATCGTCACGCGCGCATCCACTTCCATCCCCACACCTCACCCAAACCCTCCCCCCTCCCCCCTCCCCCCTCCCCCCTCCCCCGTCCCCCTCTCCCTGCCAACTCCCTCCAGGCAAGAAGAACAAGCTCATACAGCCGTGGCCGGAACGCCTGGTGTCCCCCTCGCCGCGCATTGACCTGCTTGGGCTGGCCAAGTCCGACTTTGAGGCCGACACGGTGAGATGATGAGGCATTCTAATGGGGGGGTGGGGGGTTTATGTGGCAATAAAAGGAAGGGCGCATTTATGTGGCCGGAACGACTGGTGTCCCCCTCCCCGCGCATCGACCTGCTTGGGCTGGCCAAGAGCGACTTTGAGGCCGACACGGTGAGTTGTTGGGGCATTCTAATGGTGGTGGGGGTTCATGTGGCAATAAAAGGAAGGGCAGAACTATGTGGCTGGAGCGACTGGTGTCCCCCTCCCTGCGCATCGACCTGCTTGGGCTTGCCAAGAGCGACTTTGAGGCACACGGTGAGTTGCTGCTGCTGCTGGTGGTGACCCTTATTGGTTTCAAGATGATGGTTTGCTTACATGGTGGGTTTTATGTGGCGGGCACTGGGGGATTTTTGAGGCGCCTAAAAAATGATGGGTTTTATGTGGTGGGCGCTGCGGGTCTTCTTCTTCAAACGCAGCCCCCAAGGCCAACCAAGGAATTTCAAGCGCCCTTCCTCATGTGCGATGTGGTTGACATCAACGCGCACATCAGTACATGCCTGCCCGTTCTCTACCCCTCCCGCACCCTTTCTGCTGCATCCTTGACAGGAAGCGTGGGAGAAGATAGTAGCAGACTATGACACCCTGCTGGGCGGGCAGGCCCTGCTGCGTCCTCTAGACAAAGCACCCTCCAAGAGCAAGGGCTCCAAGGCGCCCTTCCCCATGCGCAACGTGATTGACATCAACGCCCATATGACAACCCATTGTTCCTGCCCTCCCTCTACCTACTTCTCTCCCATGAGCAGGAAGCGTGGGAGAAGATCGTAGCAGACTACGACACCCTGCTGGGCGGGCAGGCCCTCCTTCGCCCTGCAGACTCCTCCTCCCTCAAAGCACCCTCCAAGAGCAAGGGCTCCAAGGCGGCCTTCCCCATGCGCAATGTGATTGACATCAACGCGCACATGGGCGGGTTTGCAGCGGCGCTGGCGGCGCAGGGGCAGGCGGTGTGGGTGATGAACACGGTGCCCCCGCAGGGGGAGGCCAGCGGTGCAGGGCTGGCGATGGTGTATGACCGCGGGCTCATCGGGGTCTTCCACGACTGGTGAGTGGCACTGTTGTTGGGGATAATGGGCACATGAACGGGGATTATTGTGGTGCTGGCGGCGCAGGGGCAGGCGGTGTGGGTGATGAACACGGTGCCCCCGCAGGGGGAAGTCAGCGGTGCCGGGCTCGCAATGGTGTATGACCGCGGGCTCATTGGAGTTTACCACGACTGGTGAGTGGCTTTGGGGGTGGTGGGGTGGGAAGGTCATTGGCACATGAAGGTGATTATGCTGTGGTGCTGGCAGCGCAGGGGCAGGCGGTGTGGGTGATGAACATGGTTCCCCCAGGGGGTGGGGAAGGGGGGTGGGGCCGAAGAGTGCAGGGCTGGCGATGGTGATGAGTGGCACTCGGGGTCTTCCATGGCTGATCGCTCATCGGGGTCATCGGGGTCTTCCATGGCTGGTGAGTGGCACTCGGAATGGGGGTGGGGTGGTGGGGTGGAGGCACATGAAGGGGTTTGCAGCAGTGCTGGTGGCTCAGGCGGTGTTCTGTTCAGTTCTGAGGGAGTTTAACGCTGCCGCTTGTTGATTATGTTCTGTTGTTCTCCATGTTCTTTGATTCTTACATGTAATGTCAGGTGTGAGCCCTTTTCGACGTATCCCCGGACCTACGACCTCGTCCATGCATGGAGAGCGGTGTCGCAAGTGCTCAAGCGCAAATGCTCCCTGGAGGGCTTGCTACTCGAACTCGACCGGATCCTCCGCCCCAAGGGTGTTCTGCTCTTCCGGGATAGTGCTGATGTTATCGCGCGCCTGGAGAAGCGGTTGAAGGCGGTGAAGTGGATTGTACTGAAGGGGCCTGTATCGAGGACGTTTATTGACGGGGAGGAGGAGCAGGTGCTCGTTGTGCAGAAGAGGTTTTGGCGGATGAAGGAGAAGGCTGGTTTGAAGGAAAGTGCGGAGGCAACTGCATCGACAGAGGGGGATGCCGAGGAGCGTAGACGGTTGTGACATAGTCGTGAAGATACAACCAGATCAGATTCGTTGATTTCTAATACTCCTAGGAATGTTGGAATTTGGACCTCTTAGTAGAGATGCTAGGAACTCCTAGTTTGCATTGTTTGTTCTTTTCCAATTTAGTTGACTTGAAGCCCATTTCTACACTCACTCAGCCTGAAAGTGCGGCCCACTGTGACGGATTTTCACACATCGCTTTTCGTGGTGTCAGGTCCTCTGGCCCGCTGACACGGCGGCTCGACTCGGTGGGATTTGGTTGGGTTGTCAGAGATTGTTACCAGACTGTTCCTCCACCTCTGGGCCAGCGAAGTTTGACGAGACTGAGAAGGATGAAGGGTGCCCTCTTCACGTCCACGAAGCGAGCAGAAATTGTGGAGCATCGAGTTTCGCACGGTTCACGATGCACGAAAGGGGTTGCACAGGCAGCGGTTGCGAAAAGCTTCAAACTTCATCCGCAAATCCCGGTGTCGTGCGGGGCAGTCTCGGGGACATCTCCCTGCGCACCAATCACCGTTTTCCCTGGAACCATAAAAAGTCCCGCACAGCTGAAGGATGCGCAGTTCCATCTCATCGAAGCGCGAAGGACATTGGGATGAGATGAGATGTCAGAGAGGCAGCGCTGAAAGGTTCATTCGCTTTCTCCTCGATCTCCTCGCTGCACTTGCTCGTTTCTCTAGCTGCTGCTGAGCTGATCCTTCAGTTGGGAGTGCCATGCTGCTGGATAGTCGCACGAGTATTTTATTATTAGAGCCGAATACGGTTTACGGTTGTGACCTGACTGTCCCAGAGTAAGCTATTAGGAGTACGTATAATTATTGCTTGACTAACGGCCTTGAGTTAGCCGCGTAAATAGCTCATTGTCCCATGAGTCTGGTTCTCGTAAACGTGAAGAGAAGTCTGACCTAGCGTCGACCCACACAGGACATAGACCATAACTTATTGACGAATCGAGTTTTTGAACCTAGACTCGACAAATCGTTTTTTACGTCGTTCGCGTCTGTCAGTTAACTCACAAACATGGATCCTCTTCCGCAAGACCATGGCTTTAATCCCAAGGTAGGCAATCCCCTGACATTTTGTAGCCCTGTGTGAACGAGTTGCCTTCTAGCACTCATTTGTTAGCCGGATGTTATTACGAGACGGCTCAATTTAATAGTTTGCAGCTAGTGCTCGATGCCTCAACAGTTTGGATTTGTAGCCACGAACCTTCCCTCCGTTCCAGCATTTTATTTCACCTGTTTCCATGCCTTGATACACTCAATAATTTCGCGCTTTTAAGTTTACATTGTAATCATCGCTGTATTTCTGTCAACTCCTCGTCTTTATTGTCCCCGCCAGGCTCTAGGCTCGTGGGCTCGGCGCACGGGATTGGTCAGCGGCTTCATGTCACCGCGCCGGGACAGCGTCGTCGACGTCACCGATGGCACCAATACAGTCACACCCGCTCCAGGCGAACCCGCTTCGCCGTCCCGCGCGAGCAGCGCGGACGGCAGTAGTTTCCAAGCGAGCGGGTTTCACGGTCAGGGGGAAGGGCACTCAGCGCACGAGGGATACGACGGGTACGATAGTCACGGGGGGCACGGGGGGAACGGGGGACAAGTCTCCGCTCCGCAGCTTCCGCCACCGCCCGGACGATCCGCGTTCGAGAAAGCGCTTTCAATCCGCTACCCCGTTGCGCAGCGGGGCGAAGCGAGTAGTGACAGTATCGGGGCCGGGAGCATGTCACCTAAAACTCCCCAGGCGGTCGCTTCTGCGACTATACCGGAAGCGGAGAACGAGGGGGTTTCGTCTATTGAGGAGAGCGACGCGGGAATGGGCAGCACTCGAATGTCGGAAGAGGTGTCCAGCCGACACGGAGGGAAGGCTGGCGGAGCGGCAGCGGCGGGTTGGGTTGGCGGGGCGTTCGTAGGCGCGGCTATCGGGGGAAGGGTTGGCGGAAGCCAGGTTGGCGGAAGTCAGGTGGCGCCGTATCCGGAAGGGGAGGAGGGGGAAGCGGTGGGGAGTATGAGGGGGAATATCGGATGGCGGAGGGGGAATATGGGTACGCGGAGGGGGAGGATATGGGGGGAGATGACGATATGTATAAAGATGTGATTGTAGACGATATGCCTTTAGAGGAGGGGATGGAGGAACGGACGGGCGTGATGAATTATGAGATGCGGGAGCGACCCGAGGCCGGGTGGATGGTGGCGTACGCGTTACAGCACATAATCGCGCTTATAGCGAACGTGATTGTGTTCCCGATGATACTTGTACCCGCTATGGGAGGCTCCGACGTAAGTACAAAAGTTATTGCGCTGCTCCCAGTGCTGGCGAGAGTCACGCTTGGCAAGTTAGCCAGCATGCCACGTACGCGCGTCGGCGGCCCTTACCGCTCATATTCTCAATCAGCCCTGCTTCCTGTTCGTGACTGCAGCTCGACAAGGCGGCCGTGATTCAGTCGGTGATGATGGTTACGGCCGTTGCAACCACTTGTTACGTGATGTGTGATTAAAGCAACTATCCCTGCTTCCCCTTCACCTTCACAGCTCGACAAGGCGGCCGTGATTCAGTCGGTGATGATGGTAACGGGCGTCGCCACCACGCTCCACGTGCTGCTGGGCACGCGGCTACCCCTCGTGCAGGGCTCCTCTCTCGTGTATTTGGCACCGGCTATCATTATCGCCAACTCGCCGCAAAACCTCAGCGCCGATCCCTCCCAGGTAGGAATTTCCAAGTGCCTTAAAACAAGTCGTCTCGTGTGCCCGGGAACAAGGCGAGCGTCCTTCCCCTCGTGCAGGGGTCGTCCCTTGTGTACCTCGCGCCGGCTATCATTGTAGCCAACTCGCCGCAAAACCTCAGCGCCGATCCCTCCCAGGTACAACAATGTTTAAGGCGAGATGACTTTGGGCATCCCTCCAGGTGCTGCTGGACGGCGCACGTAAGTGCCATATGGTCACCCCCGCCACAGCACTCTCGTTCTCTCACACTTCGCCCCACTTCCTTTCCGCATATTTTACAAATTCTGCTCCTTTTTCCAAATGTGACTGTATGGGCTGTGACTGGGTGTGGTGTGATTCTACGCGTTGTGTGCGGTGTGACTGCATGGACTGCTATTGCATGCGTTGGGATGGGGTGTGGTGTGACTGTATGCACTGTGACTGCAGCGGTTTTCATTGACAATGCGGGAGACGATGGGGGCAGTGATCGTGGCCTCGCTGCTGCAAGTCGTTGCCGGCTACTCTGGCTTCATGTCGCTCCTCATAGAGTAAGCACCCTCGCTTGTTCGCAGGCTTCATGTTGTTCCTTATAGAGTGAGCAGCGCTATTTTTTAGTCTTGGTAAAGAAAAGCTGCTTGGTCGTTGGCTTCTCTAACTCCATGTCGCTTCTCATAGAGTAAGGCTGATCAACCTTGTGTCGTGGGCGCCAACCATCACGGCTGCTGTCCTCTCCTTCCTCTCGCACAATACTGCCCCTCCCCCTTCATCTCCTTTCTCGCATCCCCACCGCTCCAATTCTCTTCTCAACTCTTCATTTTCTCCCCGCCACAGGCTCATCAACCCAGTGGTGGTGGCCCCAACCATAATGGCTGTCGGTCTCTCGTTCCTCTCCCACGGCTTCCCTGTCACTGCCTTACCCTGCCCTTCCCCCTCCATCTCCCCTCTTCTCCTCTGTTCTGCCCACCCCTCCACAGGCTGATCAACCCAGTGGTGGTAGCCCCCACCATCATGGCCGTGGGTCTCTCCTTCCTCTCCTACGGCTTCCCTGTCATCCGCCTTACCACTCCCCTCTTATTCATCGCTCCCCCATCCCCCATCCCCTCCACAGGCTGATCAACCCTGTGGTGGTGGCGCCAACCATAATGGCCGTGGGTCTCTCCTTCCTCTCCTACGGCTTCCCTGTCATCCGCCTTACCGCACACACTCCCCTCTTCATCCCCTTTTCCTCCCTTGTGCTTCCCCCTTTACAGGCTGATCAACCCAGTGGTAGTAGCCCCAACCATAATGGCCGTCGGTCTCTCATTCCTCGCCTACGGCTTCCCTGTCATTGGCCGCTGCGTCGCCATCGGCCTACCAGAGCTCATCCTGATCATCATATTTGCGCTGGTATGTGGCACAAGTTACACTTAAATATCATAGCAGCACTGATTTGCCTGCTGTGTGACATCAAATTATATCTGAATATCTCTCAGCAACATTGTATTCGCCCTGGTATCTGACACAGGATTTTAGTTATCCTAGCACCGACGGTGCCCTAAGTTACTGCCATCCGCTCCTGACTCTCCACCCCTCTGCCTCCCTCTCCACCGCGCTGCACCCCTCTCAACAGTACCTGCGCCGAGTGTCGTTCTGGGGCTCAAGGTTCTTCCAGATCCACGCGGTAAGCCCCTCACCCCACCACCCTGCCCTTTCCGCCCTAGTTTTGAGGCGCCCCAAAAAAATAGACATCGAGTGTCGTTCTGGGGCTCGGGGTTCTTCCAAATCCACGCCGTAAGCTCCCCAACCACCACCCTGCCCTTTTCGCTTTATGTTCTCTTTCTGATTCGCGCTGTAACGATGTACGTGCCTCCTCTTTCTTTCCTTTCAATAGGCTTATCCTTTCGCGCTGTAAGGATGTACGCGCTGATTTTTCTTCCTTGGGGTGTTAACCTATCACCTCCATGGACCTTCCCTCGCCAGATCTCCCGCTGTCTGTTCATCACGTGGCTCTATGCCCTCGTGCGCACCCTTCTCATGTGCATACAACGTCCCGTATGACCCCTCCTACCCCTTCCCTCCTCCTTTACCCCTCGCAGATCTCCCTAGGGTTGGCCATAACGTGGCTCTACGCCCTAGTGCTCACCCTAGCAGGCGTCTACAGCTACCCCGACTGCTCGCCCTCGGCCATCTACCCCTCCTCCTCCCCCTGCGCCGAGAAGCAAGTCCTCATGGCCTCCTGCCGAACCGACGCCTCCAGTGCCCCTTCTGACTCCTAATTCTTGCCTCTTCTGCTGTGCCCACCTCCCATCACTTGCACATCTGCCCCATTCCATCACGCACAGATCTCCCTAGGGTTGGCAATCACATGGCTCTACGCCCTAGTGCTCACCCTAGCAGGCGTCTACAGCTACCCCGACTGCTCGCCCTCGGCCATCTACCCCTCCTCCTCCCCCTGCGCCGAGAAGCAAGTCCTCATGGCCTCCTGCCGAACCGACGCCTCCAGTGCCCCTTCTGACTCCTAATTCTTGCCTCTTCTGCTGTGCCCACCTCCCATCACTTGCACATCTGCCCCATTCCATCACGCACAGATCTCCCTAGGGTTGGCAATCACATGGCTCTACGCCCTAGTGCTCACCCTAGCAGGCGTCTACAGCTACCCCGACTGCTCGCCCTCGGCCATCTACCCCTCCTCCTCCCCCTGCGCCGAGAAGCAAGTCCTCATGAACTCCTGCCGCACCGACGCCTCCAGTGTTCTGTCGGATGCCAAGTGGGTGGCTCCCCCGTACCCGTTTCAGTACGGCATGCCCATCTTCCGATGGGAGTCCATTTGCGTCATGCTGCTGCCGGCCCTGATTTCGACCATCGACTCGGTACGTTGGGGATGTATGGATGCGTGGGTGGGTAGGATGGTGGGTGGGTACAGCAAGCAGGGCCAAGTGGGTGGCGCCCCCGTACCCGTGTCAGTACGGCATGCCGATCTTTCAGTCGGAGTCCATCTGTGTCATGCTGCTGCCGGCACTCATATCAACCATCGACTCGGTAAGTTTAGGGTGGGTGAATGGATGTGGGTGGTTGGGCGGAAAGCTCAAGTGGGTGGCGCCCCCATACCCGTTGCAGCACGGCATGCCGATATTCCGATGGGAGTCTATCTGTGTCATGCTGCTGCCTGCCCTGATTTCAACCATCGACTCGGTACGTTGGGGATGGGTTGTTCCATGGGTGAATGCATGTGGGTGGGTGGGTGGGGAACAGCATGCTGGCACCACCACCCCGCTCCACGCCCCTACGCACGCATGCTGACACCAATCAACACCAAAAGGAACTCGTATCTGTCCCTCTGTCCCTCCCTTTCCTGCCCTTTCAGGTCAGCAACTACCACGCAACCTCCCTGCTGGTAGCCGTGCGGCCCCCGACAGGCGGGGTGGTGGGGCGAGGAATAGGCATGGAGGGCATAGCGAGCGTGCTGGCGGGGATGTGGGGCACGGGGGGTGGCGCCACCACTCTCACTGAGAACATTCACCTGGTTGCGGTTACCAGAATGGGGTCGCGCGTTATCATCATCGTCGGGGCGGCGTTCCTCGTCTTCTTCTCGCTGTTTGGTAGGTGGGGGTGTGGGGGAGGGGAGGGCATTGGCATGGAGAGCATAATGTGAGCATGTTAGCAGGGGGGTGTGGGGCAGAGCGCTGCTGCTGCCACCACTCTCACTGAGCGTGCTGGCAGGGATGTGGGGCACGGGGGGTGGCGCCACCACCCTCACAGAGAACATTCACCTGGTTGCGGTTACCAGAATGGGGTCACGCGTTACGATCATCGTCGGGGCGGCGTTCCTCGTCTTCTTCTCGCTGTTTGGTAGGTGGGGGTTTGGGGGAAGGGGGATTGAGAGGGAAGCGGTGATGGTGGGACCGGGACTGTAGGGAAGGGGCTTGCGGGGTGTTAATAGGGGAAGACGAGTGGGAGGTGGTGGAAGGCGAGGGGAATGGTTCTGTAGTGCTTCAAAATGGGTGTGGGGGAGGTGTGTGGGAGGTGTGCGGGAGGTGTGTGGGAGGTGTGTGGGAGGTGTGTGGGAGGGGTGGGGATGGCAGGCAGGGTCGGGTTGTGTTTGTGCCTCCACACCACACCACCAGTCATGATTGGCAGTCCCCCTCACACACTCCATGCTGCTGATACATCCCTTCCCGCCCACCCCTCCTCTTCTTCCGCTGTCCTTCTCCATTCCACCAGGCAAAGCTGGAGCACTTTTTCCTTCCATGCCGCCAGTCATGGTGGGGGCCCTCCTCACCATAATGGCAGCCATGGCAGCATCGCTTACTCACTCTGTTCCTCGTGTGCTCTCCTTCTGCTCGTCCTTCTTCTCCATTCCACCAGGCAAGGTGGGAGCTCTCTTTGCCTCCATGCCACCAGTCATGGTCGGCGGCCTCCTCACCATAATGGCAGCCATGGCAGCATCGCTCGGCCTCTCCTCGCTGCGCTACGCCGAGATGGGCTCCTCGCGCAACCTCCTCATCACTGGATTGGCGCTCTTCTTGTCTCTGTCCGTCCCGGATTATTTCAAGACGTATACGGCTTCGACCGGTCATGGGCCAATCAACACGTCTAGCTCGGGGGTAAGTTCTTGGTCTGCACATAGTGCTGTAGCTGGTGTAGCCGCTGTAGCTGGTGTATCCGCTGTGGCCTTGGGCAGAGATGGGCTCCTCCCGCAACCTGCTCATCACAGGCCTCGCGCTCTTCCTCTCTTCTATTCTCCCCTCCCCTCCCTGCTGCTCGCAGCTCAACTTTGTGCTCAACTCACTCCTCGCCCTCCCCATGGCCCTCGCCTTCACGACTGCCTTCTTCCTCGACAACACTGTGCCGAGGACAGCAGGGCACGGCACAACGCAGCACCCGAGTCCTTTACGTGGTTCCCGTCTAATATGCATCTCCTTTCTCTTCTCCCGTCCCCTCTCTGCTGTTGCGAACCCCTCCGTCCCTTCCCTTCCCATCCCCCGCAGCTCAACTTTGTGCTCAACTCGCTGCTCGCCCTCCCCATGGCCATCGCCTTCATGACTGCTTTCTTCCTTGACAACACTGTACCTGGCACGGCCACCGAACGAGGCCTCTACGTCTGGTCCGGACGTAAGGCGGCTCGGGCCGATCCTCTCATGCACGAGGACTATGACCTGCCGTTCGGCTTGAGCAGATTCTTCTCCTGGGTGTTCTGGCTGGGCGTGTGAGAGTGCAATGAGATTTCAACTCGAGACGATTCTGTGGTCTGGTCACTACTGCAGCTCGGGCCGACCCACTCATGCATGAGGACTATGACCTTGCTGCATGAGCATTGAGCAAATTGATTCTTCTCGTGGATCTTCTGGCTGGGCGTGTAGCTGTATCCTGCAGCCTGGAACACTTATGCAATCTACCTAGGTCAGGTCGTATGTCCTGTTCTCTCCATGGGTTGTTTGTAAATTATGAGCTCCTTAGCTTGCTGCAGTGTAGGTGTAGCAACTAATTTATATGTAGGCTTCTTGGCTTCCTCTGAGATCGGATTAATGGTTGAATATGGTGTAATGAACAAGCTGCTTCTATCAAACCTTTAAATCTCCCATACCGGTACATCCCTGGTATGCTATCATTATTACAAAACGGACTTATCAAGCACCACTGCAAGTCCTTCTGCAGCTATAGGTCTGATGCGGGCATTGCACCAGCCCATCTGCACTTATACTAGCGCAATTATACAGGTCAGTGCATTATGCACTAGTGCCAACAGCCAGAGCTTTGATCTCGACCAACGCGCGGGCGTCTGCTGCTGCGGAGATTGCAGAGTCACTCGCTCCTGAGTTGGCAAGGACAGAGCTGATATGCCGGGAGAACAGGAGGGGGGGGGGGGGGTGGAGTGGGGAAGAGTGGGGGTGGAGGGATGGGGGAGGGAGAGGGAGGACGCCAGGGGTGTGAGTAAATGGGGAGGTAAAGGGAGGTAGCCTGGTGTGGTGGCTTGGAAGGCTAGGAGCCTTTTGCGAGCGTTGAATGACCGCAGTGGTTTACCCAATAGGGACAGACACCGATGCCTGCAGCACCACACCAGGCGGTACTGGGAGAGGCGGCTGGTGAGGCGCCCGCTCACTTACGGAGGGCTTTTGTGATTGTTTTGTGCCCTCAGTGGCTTACCCGATAGGAACGGACACCGATGCCTGCAGCACCACACGGTACTGGGAGAGGCGGCTGGTGAGGCGCCCGCTCACTGCAGGCACCGAGTCCTGGGGTGCTGTTATAGTCACATTCGCCTGGTCCAGGTTGGAGCCGAGGAAGCTTCCTGTGAGCGCACTGGCGCGCAGAACCACCTGGTTGGGTGTGAGCGTGAAGGTGCCATCTGGGGAAGGCTGGAACTGACCTCCTGTGGGGGGAGTGAAATGGGGCATGTGCAGAGAAAGAGGTAAAGGAGGGGAGAAGGGAAATGTGACAATTGGGTGAGATAATGTTTGCGCACCCTATTGACCAGGCGATATTTGATACAGATTTTTTTTTCTCTTACCTGAGATTTCCACTACTGGCTGGGAGACCTTGATTGTAGCGAGGGGAACTCCCATTGCGGCTGAAAGGACGGCTGTGATTTCATCTGGGCGCGATCCCGCGGTGGCTGCCTGCCACGTCACCACACGTGTGGCTGACGAGTTTTCTGCCGAGTCACGCAGATTGATCTGACCAATCAGGTTGACGGAGCTGGGAGTGATCTCTGCCGTGATGCCACTTGGCAGGCCCTGGAGGGTGACGTGGCACGCGGACTCAGCTGGGACGAAGTTGAGGATGACGACGGCTGCGGCGTGGGAGGCGAGAAGCGCGAATGCGGTTACTGCCAGCATGATCAGGCTCGCTGAGTTCCTCCGGATATCCATGGGCAGGAGATGACGGACAAACAGAAGCTGGGTCGTGTATGTTTCTTCTTAAGTCCCTTTCTAGGAAAAACAAAGTTCGCTGCGAGGAAAATGAGGAAACCGCTGGTTTGGAGTTTGAGTTTGCATGAGGCTTTGGATGTATCGACGAAGCTATTTGTAGGGGTGGGATCTTGCAGTTTCTGTTCTCCTCCAACGGCCGAATTTTTCCAATCTCCCTCAACCAATTGAGGATTGATTCACGTCGGGAGTGTCAGCTTGAGGGTGACGTGCGAAGCGCGCGAGTCAACATTTCGAGTCGCGAATTTCTCTCCTACCTGCCGCACAAGTCAAATGAGACGCATAAGGAAGAACTGAAGTGATTGACCGTGACGACGTGGCGACATCGGCCAGTCAATTGTTCTATGCTTCGTCATTGCACTTAGGCAAAGAGACATAGAAATTTACAGGATTGTATGAAGTTCATGTATTTGTTGAAAGCTTTATCGATTTTGCTTCCCACCAGCCCTCCAATCGAGGTGGTCATTTGCGCATCCCCAAAACATACAGCAAAAACCCCTATCACGTCCCATTACAGCCCTTCACCCCCAGAGCACCAATATCAACAGCTGGCTCTTTTGTTCCCCTCTGCGTCATTCTCACTTCCGGCGGGTGGATCGAGTCGAGTGTAATTTATAAAGCTCAGATTACGTGATGCTAGTGGGGATCAAGGAGTTTTCTTGAAGGGACATGCTTCGTTGAATCATTTAGTTTCACCACCTAAGTTCATGGCTACGCCATGTCCTTCAGCACACCTGGTCCTTTCTTGCTGCCAGCGATCACATTACGGGAGCTGGTAAGCCAATTCCTATCTCCAATGCATCCTTAAGAAAAACGTTTTCTTTCATGAGTTATGGAATCCGTTCAGGTTGACTAAACGCGGCTATGATGACTTATGTTTCTGGACCTCCGATTTCACCGTGGGGAATGTACAATTAACCTTAGCTGTGGTTCTGAGCCGTGCGTTGCAACCTTCGCCTTGGATAATCCATCGATGTCCTTATCGAACCGTTCTCTTCCTGCTCTTTCCGCCCCCAGCACTAGTTCCGCCATTCTCAACTTCGCGTCGCATCGCATTGCACTTCACGTGCATCGCATTGTTTGCTTTCCACTCTCGGTAGTGTCAGTCGGGCTCCTGATTGGTCTCCTTTGATGCATTCAATGCCGTCTGACACGTCCCAGATGATGAATTTAAGTAGATGTGGTAATTTGCGTCCGATGGCCTTCGGCCGACTGAGGACTCAACCTTGGAGAACTGATGGGACTGATTATTGTTGGCTATCGTCAATGCATGTTGATCTCATGATGTGTTTTTTCTGTGCGTTTTCGTTTTGGAAGCAGTCTCATCAACCAAAGATCTCATCTTTCATGTTTTTGTTCCTGTTTGGTCTAACCAGAAACTTGCTCTGATGGGCGACCACGCACGCGGGAGCAGCAGCCAACAAGACGGCGCTGACGGACGTTGAGCCTAAGAATATGCGGGGTTGAAGGACGTCTCTATCCAGTC